GTTTGTTCAATAAATGTATTTTACTGCATCAATCTTTTAAATGTCATGGTTGAGCTGGCACATATTGTTAGAAGTGAATTATATCTCTAGTATTCAGTTTACAATGGAAAAGCAAATATGTACTTTTCCCAGAAGAATAAAATAAAACTTCCCAACGCGGCTATTTACAGATCAAGTTAGGTCCTACAATGGCATAGGACCATTGTGATATAAATCAAATTCCTCCCACGTGTTCCCAAGTTTGACATATATTTTCCAAAGAAATAAAGGTTTCCTTGTGAAGAAAATGTTGGTGATTAGTGGAAACGATTTTCTGTGATTTATCTTGTTGTTACAAGTAAGTGGAGTTGAACCCATCACTCTCTGCATCATAATTTTCATTCACAAACCTGTTTCACTTGAGTTGTTGATCCTCTCATGCATTAATATAATTGATTTATATTTAGTTCTCATACTGAGTCTTCATACCGATTTTATTGAATACTTTTTCACTTGACCATTAAGAATTAAAAATACAAATGGTTTGCTTGTAAAGAAAAACGAACACTTTTGATTTTGCTGTCACAGTGCATTTGGAGGGCACTGTACATTTTAAAAAACAAATACCTGAAATATAAAATAAAATATATACAGTAAAATATGCCCCTGTACCACAAAGCTGCAAACTCAAGCTCCTGCAAGTTTAACATGTGAGCTGTATTCCATGTGTGTTTGTCTGATGTTTATGGTGTTTATATATTGTTGTCTATTGGATATTGACTTCATATTGTGTTCATCACTATATATTAGGATCCAGGTCCTGAGGGTTCTGTTGTTTTCAAGGTATAAAATAAAAACATTTCTCCAGTTCACTGTACCACTCCAGCTGTGGTTTAAAAGTTTAACTGCCCTGCTGTCTACATCTGAGAAAATGATCTCAGGTTCTTTAAGTCCACATCACTAGACATTAAACCAATGACCATTACAGCATAAAAAAGCAGAAGGCTTTGATCACCCATTTTAGAAATCGTAAAGCATTCTCTGCAACTGCAGATTGCAAATTCAGTTTCAACTTAAAAATGACAAAAATATGATCAACTAGAACATGGACCAGATTAACATGACCTAATTAACATTAAAGAGTGAACAACAGGGACACATTGCTTTTGTACACATTTGCATGGGGATGAATTTGATCTATATTTTAAAAAACTGTGTCCATTTTGCAATATGGCAAAAATATATTTGTATGTGGTAAAGTATTTCTTCTTTATAAACACTTCATCCAGCCCTTAAAGGGGAAGTTGAACTTCTGCCAGACCAGTTTATAAGAAAAGGTAAAAGTTTCAGCATTTCCTTTAACGCCTTCTTCTGCAGTCTATATATACCCGAGTGACAAGAACATTGATTCAGAGAGTCGTGTGTGCCGTATTCAAAATGAAGTTTGTTGTGTTCTGTCTGCTCTTCGCCTTGGCGAACTGCAAGGTATATGATCGGTGTGAGCTGGCAAGAAAACTGAAGGCTTCTGGACTGGATGGGTACCGGGGATACAGCCTGCCAAACTGTGAGTACTGAGCGCCAGCCCTTATGTACTAAGGTCTTTCAGGTTGGGGTCCCATTTGGAGATTTTTAAATGAGGAAAGATTTTTAATCTCAAAGTGACACTAATACCCTATCAACCATTTTTTTAAAACAAAAACATTTAAACTTTCTTTAATTTACAATTCACTGGATGTGAACATTTCCTTGCTTAGGGTGTAGGTGATAACTGAAATGACACAGACAGATATCTTTAAGCCCTGGAAAGGCTTCTCTTTCTGGCAGATTTCTGATTTCACCCCCCTCACTTGTGAGGGAGTGAAGAGTTTCTCTGCAGCCAGAGGAGGGGAGCATGAATCCACCTCTCTCCTGCTCCACCAGTCTATGAGCTTACTTTTAAAAATACATTTAAGTGATAACAATATCACTGATACCACTTTTAACATTTTAATGGTAAAATACAAGGGTAAGATTGAACCTATGGAATGTAACTCACTCTTGTCAGTGTGCAGCGTGTGTTTAACTTTCTGAAGCTGTAGCTTCTGGAAAATTGTAGCTTCATCTGAAACTTGGCTGAGTGGATTCTCCAGTGTGTCTAACTGCAGCATATCAAGACTGTAATGTGTGCCCTGGGTTAATATCTTTTCAGGGGTGTGCTTGTCAAAGTGGGAGTCCAGTTACAACACTGCAGCCATCAATCACAACTCGGATGGATCCACGGATTATGGGATTTTCCAGATAAACAGTCGCTGGTGGTGTGAGGATGGAAAGACCCCACAATCCAAGAATGCATGTGGCAT